TAGGTACTTACCAATTACCAAAAGCCCATTTTTAAAATAAAACAAATTCCTCCTGTTTTTTTTTTAGAAGATGAATCTTTCCAACAACTTTTTTGTTGAAGTTAAAAATTTGTTTCAGTCTCTATCGTTGTCATTGGTACCTTTATAAAAATAATCAAAACGTTACTTATTTCATAAAATGTCGAATCCAAATCATTGATACTATTTAATAAACTTCTTGTCGTCTACAATATGTGATGAATTCATTTCTATTATATCGAAAGATTTACAACTCATAATAGCTAACAAAATACCGGAAGCCAAATTGTATTCTGTGGTAGTATAAAAAAAGTGGTATAAAAAAAGATTTTTTGGGATTTCTACCTATATTTTCTCATACTGGTAAAAACTTGAGTTATTTAAAGTAAGTGAGTAAGTAATTACTTAATTACTTTATACATAAAAAAATTAAAAGTGAGAAAAAATTCAATATCTGGGTATATTTGTTTAAGTATTATTGTTTGTTTTAACAAATTATGTTTCATTCATTTTTGTACACGTATATTACTGTTTTTCCCTTTCTTTTCTAGATATCCGATAAATTAAATAGAACTACATACTATATGTTTTGAAATCAAACTACCAAAAGCAAAGTATGTGTCATGTCATGACTGAAAAATAGGTTCGGAATTATCATGTTGCCTAGGGGCTCACTTACCCTTAGTCCGCGTCGAAGAATTTGAAAAAAAAATAAATGCGAATATGACGCCTATGTTCCAAAAAATATACGGACCCTAGGACTTTTTTTGTAAATTCTCGGATTTGTCCGCAACTGTCCACGCATTAATAGCAGTACCGTCGTAAATTTGTGCTATTAATTTCTCGAGAAGAGACATAAGAGCGAACACCAATCTTGACACCAACAAGATAAACGAAGGACTTAATACCGTCTGAGTTTGTATAGACCCATCTGTTGTATCGTCTGCATCGAGCAAAAAGATAAAAGAGGGAATCTAATCGTTATGAAAAGGAGACCAAAAAAGTGGCCTCTGATGGCGGACATATCCGGAAATGCAAAGGCGCTAAATTTAAATTTTCCAACTCTTATTAACAATAGCTATAAAATATTTTTCAGACGAGAAAGTTTTAATTAAATATTAACTATAATAGTCTAAAAAGTGACACAATTGGTAAAAGATTTCAATATAAATAAAATTTTCATGTGACTGTTGGAACAAACAATACATAACCTAACTAAATTTGACTTCTTAAACAAGGAAAGAGACTGTCTATCCTTGTCTAAAGTGGCCTCTCAAGATGGCACTTCCTGTCTATCAATATGTTTACCCCCACTACCTTTACATTCCCTCGTTTGTCTTATTGCTCGAATGATCTGTCTGTCATTAGTGCAAAAAATCAATTCAAAATCAGTCTATTTCACTGAAAATTTCCTCCTTACATATCTGAAACATCACAATTATTAGAGTTCATTTGTATAGTTTTTGGACGTACCATTCAAACTCCGTTAGCTTCGTTTTAATGTGACTAGTGTGGAATCATGATATAAGGAAACATGGTATGCTCACGCGCATCTATTTTGAACAGCAATCACGTGTACGACCAAAATCCGCCATTTTGAAGGCGGCAATTCAAATATGTACACAATTGATACGAAATATCGTAGTTAAATTAAATAAATTAAAATTAATATTATACATTAATCCAATTAATTCATATTTAAAATGATCTGACTGACTCTTGCTAAAATAATTTTTAAAAAATCGAAACAAAACAAAAACACATTTACATTTAAATTCCAGTACATTGCAAAGTAAGGTTAAAAAATGCAAAAGTAAACAAAGCAGACGTCACGCATGTAGAGGTGGTTGATCCAAGTATTTTTGTGGATCAGGTCAGGTATGCTCACTTACACTTACTATTGAGTACTACAGTACCCGTACCATGGACAGTATAATTAAGATCTTTATTTATACGGCCATGACCCGTACTCGTTTTTTATTATATATTGGTGTTAGGGATCAGTTCACAAGTATAAATAAAATACATGTTCCAAAGTAACTGGTACGGGATCAGGTCACCATCCCTACACACATGTGACATATTGAAAAGATGGTGGATTTTGGTCGGCGCAGAAATGTGCAAAAAACGAGTCCACTAGTGAGCATACCTTGTTTCCTTATATCATGGTGTGGAATCTAAATTTTTAGTATTTACCAACTAGTTCTAAAAACACAACCTTATTAATCGACTCTTCACACTCATTATAACTACCGTACTGTAGGACCGCAACTTAAACAAAACATCGATCATTTTAGACAGGACGTAAATTGTTGTTGATACCATTCCGTTGGTTAAGCCGAAAGCTTACAATATTGTTCGTATGCTTGTTCGTTTCCTGCTTTTTTATCGTTTCGACCAGATCTTTCAAATCACGTAGGTACACCTTCTTGGGTCCAGTTATCTTTCCCACCAAATAAAGTACAAACAAAACAAAATAACGCAATTTTTTTACATCCACACAACCATAACGTTTTTGTCTTAGATACATGAATCAAACTTCCGCGTAAAACTCGTTTAATATTTATGACCAGGTTGCACTTATATATGTCTGCCTAAACGTTGTCAGGTTGGTCTTAAATTCAATACCGGCATAGATCGTTCATTATTTAATATTTACCTTGTCAAGGTAATATTTAACTAATTGAATAGTAAGTTTATGAATACTCATATTGTAGCCTTAACTCTGTGTCAGTAGAGCGATGTACTTTGAAAAGATTAAAGTTCACTGCGTGTCGTGTCCATGGTAACCGCATGCCTTTATCGATGTGTTATGAAATCAGCCCCGAATATAGTGCAGACGCTTCAAACACATGTACTTAATTATTGTAAAATTTGGTTCGATTAGGTAAATATATTTTAATGGAATGAAGTTTGAACAAAAAAGTGAATGAAGAAAATTGGTTGCTTCAGTAACACGTTCTTCGGAATACTTTTATAAAATTCGCATACTACTGTAATGTTTTGTTACAGATTTATTACATGCTTGACGAATTTCTATCCCCTGACATAGAATTTTAATTTTAGTAGATTTATGTTGATGTAGTGGAGAAGCGTTTGGTAAGTTAAACTATGTATTTAAATCAGACCTACCCATATTCCTCAAAAGGAAAATCTTTGACTAATGTGTGTTACCTGTACTCACTTATGGAGCATAAACATTAAGACTCACAAAAAAGGTAGTTAATAAGATTCGCGTGACTCAGATGGCTATGGAGCGGTAGACGTTGGTTGTCTCTCTGAGAGACCGAATCCCAAATAAAGAAATACGTAGTAGAACAAAAACAACAGACGCTATCGAAAAATAGCGTCGATAAAATGGAATTGGGCAGGACACGTCGCCAGATTATCAGATAACCGATGGACAAAAAGTATTTTAGAGTGGAGACCAAGGCAAGAACCAATACAGGCAGAGAACGCCCACCAACTAGATGTACTGACGATTTGAAGCGTGTTACCAATAACTGGATGTAAGCCGCACAAGAGAGAGATAAATGAAAACAGCTGAGGAAGACCTATGCCCAGCAGGTGGACGCATACAGGTTGATGATAATGATGAATGGAGAAGTATTCTTGACTTGTCAGACCCATTACAAAGAATTCTGTCGGCCGTAGCTCAGCGGACAATAAATGATGAATAATTTTGTATTTAACTACTTTCCAAATACAAATATTGTTTGTAGCAGGTCAAAAATAAATAGTATATAACAAAGGAATATAAAACATACCTAGCTTAAAAACATCACAAATAAACACAGATTAACAGAAAATGATTTATGGCAATATCAAAGTAAGCAGTTCAGTGGATGTTCTGTAATGAGTCATATATTTTTCTGAGCAGTAAAAGCAATGTTTCAGCAGATATTTTTTATAACTCTTTCGAAACTATCACAGCTTAGCTGTTTAATATTTTTTGGTAAAATGTTGTAATAGTTATAGTTAAGTAAATTTTTATCTGAAAGACGCAATATACAGCGATTTGTTCGTAAGTAGTGACAGTTATTGTGAACGTGAACATCAGACTGCTTTATTAAATGGGCCCGTTTTTTGTAAATTTAAGTCAGAACTTGAAATTTTAACAGAGCAGGTAGCGGCATACTTTTGCTTTTGAAAAACAAAGTTGTGCAATGTTCTAAATAATTAACCCCTGCTAAAATCCTGATGGCTTTCTTTTACATTCTAAAATGTTGTGCATTTGTTGAATTGCCGCATTGATTAATTCATACCTTAGGTGTGAGTAAAATAAAGAAAAATACGTCATTTTTATTGTCTCAAAGCTAAAAAAATTGTAGTTGGCGAATAATAAATAATTAGTTGAGAGACATGAGCCGACCAGTTCAATCGATTATCTATGGTTATTCCCAATAGTCTAACAGTCTCTTTATTATCTGCATTATTATGTAAATTCCTTGGATATAACCAAATTTTGAGTTTTATCGGAGTTAAATTTCAGTTTGTTTGCAGCAAATCATGTGCTAGATTTAGTAGAAATTTCCTCGTAAGACATTTTTATATCATCATTTCTTTTTCTGATATAACGTACATCGTATCATCTGCGAATCTTACAGATTTGTAAAAAGATATAAATTTAGGCAAAACGTTGGCATAAATAATAAACAAAAGAGGTCCTAAGACTGAACCTTGTGGGACTCCACGTTTTACGGATAGAAAATCGGATAGATGACCTTTAGACACTACCGCCTGGTGTCTGCCACATAGATAAGAAGTTATAAGCCTCTATATCCCTATATAGAGGGATACCTCTAATTCCATAATAATTTAATTTGTGGAGCAAAATTTTGTGTGAAACGCAGTTAAACGCCTTCGAACTAATGCTTGTTATACTCCAAGTAAAATTTCTTCCACTATCTTAAGTTTACTTACCGTTTGGATAACTTAAAATCAAGCATATTTACATTGACCTCTTGAAAGAACAGTCCACAAAAAATTAAAACAAATTTTAATTAAATAGGTACATTAAATCAACAAAATTGTTTCAGATATATTTTAAAGACTACCTTGTTCAGCTGTCTATACCAAAAATGTTTTTTTTTCGTACAAAACATCGCAAATAAAATTGTTGCTTAAGTCTACAACTATATGCATTTCACGATATTCATGACCAATAGGCGAATTTATCTTATTTATCTATTGAAAGAGTAAGTAGTAAAAAGTGAAGATCTGTAATACTGACTCATCAGCCGACCCAATCCACTTGTGTATTCTACTTTCAAGTTATCTTTAAAGTTTTGTTTTTCTGGCCATTACTGAGTTTTGAACGCAGTGAACTACTCACATCAAAGTAGAAACAATATATATCTTTCAAACTAGGCATCAACATATTTTAAAGATCATTTTTTGCCATAAACCTTTTTTTCGCAAAATTAATATAGGATAGTTGTGTAATGTAACTTCTAAACATCGAAATGATAGACATTAGTTCAATTAGCGAATGTAATTCGGTAATTCATTTTCTCCGGTAGTCGGTAAGAATAGAAATTTGAGCCACTGGTGACCTCGACATTCAACCTTGTAAAATGACAATAAATTGATATTGAATCAATTGATTCAACAAGTAGTCTACAGTAGTATCTCCGATTTCGTTAAATTTATCACCCACCAAAGTTGCCTATTGGTCATAATTATCGATGACATTGTATACAAGATTTTGTCTTAAGAATTAATTTGAAAAAAAAAGTCTAAAAAATGTTCTACACGAGCCTACTGTACATATCGTCTAATTGTGGTTTAAAGTAAGCCTTCAGCTGTGGACGTTTCGATTTCATCGTCGGTGTGAGTAAGCCATTTTGAATGCTGAAGTTGTCGGGGTGAAGGTATATGTCCTTTACCTGTAATCAACATAAAAGGGTATGTGTTAGTAATCAGTGGTTTAGTAAATATGTAAGAAAATAAAAAGAACTCGAAAAAGTAGGAAAATGTGCAGTTCAATAATTATTTACAGTGTAGGTAAAAGTTTATGGTCGGTATGGTAAATTTAACAGGATATCTAACGCAGATATAAAATCATATTTTCAGCGAATAGACAAACATAACAATCATATTTCCCTTGGTCTCCCCTCATAAATATTTTTAAACACTCATTGCTCATTCGTGAGACGAATAGTTCCGATCAGAGATATTTTACATATTCTCTGGTTCCGATCCTAATATACCTAATAAACTAGAGGTGGATCCTCTCGTTTTTTAAATTTTTATCGGAACCGTTTTTCGTAAACTGTAACTAGTTGATTGTTTACCAGTATTCAAATTAGCGAGTAGACAAACATATTGGCTATTATCATTTATGTGTATAAGTATTGAAGTGAAAGAACCTAAGGCAGGATATATTTCTTATAACTTGAAAAATAAATTAAACAATACAAATAGTACTTACATTTACATTACACATTATTAAATCGCGAATCGTCTAAATTGACATTTAAAACAAATTTTTCCACTTTTCTTGTTAACCGTGTACTTCTTCTTTTATTTAAAATTAAACCAGATTTTAAACATGACTGTGTTCACAAGGGAAAATATTTTGTTACAATACTACAATATTTTATGAATATAGTGGTTAAGTTAGGATATACATGACGTTGGTTTTTCCATTATGGTAATGGACAGTTCCAATCTCCGTTCAAAATTTTTTGTGGGTAATATATCATCAGACAAATACATGTCGACTTCTTTTATATACTTCGATTACAGGTGTATGTTTAGATGAGTCACGTGCAATTAATTCATCAAAAATACACCATGGACTTAAGTCATCTTTATCAGTTTCTTTTTCTTGTACTGGTTAATTTTCAAGATTTACTAAACTTATGCAAAGACTCGTTTCATCCGTTTTCCATAGGTAAAGAACCAGCTTTTTAAAAGTTTGCAGGGTGGATTCCTGGATATAAACTGCCAACAAGAAAAAACTGTCAGGTTCATTACTTCAGGAATGTTATGTCAAAACTGATTTAATAATAGATAAAATAAAAACTCCTTATTTTCGACAATTCTGCAAAAAACACATTTAAAAAAAGTACCTTATCTTCAGAAAGGCTTTTAAATTATTAATTACAACATAACAAAGTTCCCAAACGGCCAATCCAAGACGTGGAAACTAGGTAGAACTTCACCTACTACATGTTAAAAAAAATGATCGAGTTAGAAGAGGCAATCCGTTCCACATCGGTATTAAATAATACAGACTTAGACCAAATCTAAATAAAGAACACTGGAATATTTGTTCTCAGCTTTTCCAAATTTTACGGCCGTTTAAAGAAATAACAAGTACAATGAGTGACCAAAAATACTTGAAGGGTAGTTCAGTGATTGTTATGGTACGCTGCCTGCAAGAATCTTGCAATAAAATATAGTATCCGACGTAGTACAATTACTAATATCGGGTTTAGCAAAAGATTTAGAGGGATAGAACAGAGTGGCACATTGTCATTATGTACATTTATGGATTCACGATTTAAAGTGCAGGGATTTTCTGATAAAAATGAAGCTAAAAAAACAAAACAAAGAGTTAAGCAGCTTGTTACTTCTATAATTAAATAACAAGAAGATTGTACTATTGAAAATCAACGAGTACAAGAAAAAGAAACCGATAAAGATGACTTAAGTGCATGGTATATATTTGATCAATTAATTGGACATGACTCATCTAAACGTACACCTGTATCGAGAATCCATTACAATAGTGGAAAAACCATCGCCATGTATATCCTAACTTAACCACTATATTCATAAAATATTGTAAATGTGAACACATGTTCAAAATCTGGTTTAATTTTTTTTCTTCTTCTGGTTCCTATCCATTTCGGATGTTGGAAATCATATTGGCAATCATAACCTTGCTCGCTGCGGCTCGAAACAGCTCCGTTGAGGTTTTCTTAAACCATGTTCTTAAATTCCGCAGCCATTATATTATCCTTCTACTGGGTCCTCGTTTACCTTTGACTTTACCTTGCAATATAGACTGTAGCAGGGAGTAACGATGCTCATTTCTCATAACGTGTCCCAGATATTGCAATTTTATGCGTTTGATTGTAAACACGATCTCTGGTTCCTTCTTCATTTTTCCTAGAACTTCCTTGTTCGTGATCCTTGCTGTCCATCATATTCTCAGCATTCTTCTATAAACCACATCTCAAATGCTTTAAGTTTTTTAATAGTGGTGTCTGTAAGCGTCCATGCCTCTGCCCCGTACAACAACACAGAGAAAACATAGCATCTCAAATGTCTCATTTTTGTAACAAGGGATATGTTGTGACTTTTGAAGATGGCGCTCATTTTGTTTAAGACCGTTCTTGCCTTTCTCATGCGGCACTTTATTTCCTGTAAATTGCTCCACTGTTCGTTAATAATAGTTCCCAGGTAACAATACTGTTTTACTCGCTCTATCTGCGTCCCATTAATGTATAGATGAACCCCGTTTATATTCTCCTTGCTGATAATCATTTGTTTCGTTTTGTGGGTATTAACGTTTAGTCCGTACTGTTGACTGTACTCGTTTATTCTGTCCATTAGCCTCTGAAGTCCCTCTAAACTATCTGCTATCACCATGGTGTCGTCGGCATATCTAACATTGTTTACTCTTTCACCATTTAGAAGGATGCCTTCGTCTATTCCGTAAAGAGCCTCGTTAAAAATTTTCTCTGGGTTTAATTTTAAATAAAAGTTATAATAAATATATCCTTCATTAGTTTCTTTCACTTCAATAAATATACACATAAACGATAATAGCCATTATGTTTGTTTATGTAGGTACTCTCTTACTTGAAACTACTGTTAAACAATCATAGTAACTTGTTTACGAAAATCGGTTTACGATGAAAACTTCAACGACCACCTCTACTCGTTACCTTGCCGACGTTACCATTTACGACGTTGCCAAATAATTTTGTATGTTTTATTGTGGCATCATATGCAGTTTAATATTTTTATTGGGAATAAGGCACAATGTGACTTTAAAATACGCTTATTTTGATGTTTAGATTTTTAATTCGGGAATTGTACTTAAAATACGAAACATTAATAAATTTTATTTATATAAAACGATTTCCGACGTGGAAATCAAAATTACACTTATTGTAAAATAAAATTGTGGCATATTCCCAATAAAAAACAGTAAGCTGCCATTTAAATCCATTTCGCCCAAATTTTATTATCTTAGATACCGTTCTCTTACCGTTCAATTTTACTAGAACATTGTTCAAATGCTAAAAAGGCAACAGGTCAAATAAAACCAATAAGTTTGGCAACGTTGAATTTCCTCTTTTTTATTATTTCAACTATATTCATTTTCGGCGATATAAAGGGCGGACCTAATATACCTCTCTATTTTTAAACATGTGTTTCTCACTCCATCTCACGTAAGGTCCATACCGACCATAAACTTTTACCTATACTGTATATGTTTAGTTCTAAAAACCTAATAAAACTCTAATGGCTTCATTGCTCATTTTTCTCCATGCTTTCCTATTTATTATGTTCTTTTTCGAGTAGTTGAATGTTTATATTATTAATGTTGCTTCAAAAGCCTCTTAACTGTCGTGATCGTGGTTTTCATTTCTTTTTTCCCTTCCTATTGAACTATTTAGTCATATTTTTGGTAATCTTCCTATGTTCTTTGTTTCTTTGTGCATTTACCATTCTTAGTATTATTATACATTTGGTTCTCCAAACAAAATATTTGGGAACATATATTTTCCTGGGAATGTACTTAAAGCGAGGAAGAAACAGAAGGAGGCTCCGGTCAATATTTGATTTCCGACCAAATATTGCTCTGAGATATTTAAATTGATCTACTTCGTTCAATATGTACATTTTCCTTTCAATGCCTCAATTGATAGTTGCATTCCTTTTGTAACGCTTCAAAGTGCTTAAATTTTTTTATTTGATTTGATTCACAAAGCAGTAACTTTTATTAGACCCTCAGAAGTCTTATCTTTAAAGAAACTGAAATGTCCCTGCTGCAGAGTACTTTTTTCAGTTTGTTGAGAGAATTTCTTACCTGTCCTATTCTTGCTTTAATCTCTTCTGTGTACTCATATTATTTTTCAACTTTTTTAAATTTTGTTCTACATGTATTGTTATGTTTTCTTGATGCTGTCGGGCTTTTGTAACTACCATAAATTGTGTCTTTTTTGTGTTTAGGGACAGTCCGTTTACTTCACTGACTTCTATCACTCTGTCAACCATTTGTTACCGCTTTGTTGTAAATCCTCAAGATATTCCGCTAATAAAATAGTGTCATCGGCAAACCGTATATTATTGATTGGCTCGGCCATTTACTTTTATTCCCATAGTTAGTTCTTCTAGTGCTTCCTGGATTATTTCCTCTGAATACAAATTGAACAAAGTAGGAGACAGGACACAGCCCTGCCTGAAGCCCCTCTTAATATGTATTTCATTTGAAAAGACGTTGTTCTCTTTTCTGATTAGATAGCACTAATGATCCTCATATCTCTCATATCTAAGTTTTTGACTGACCTTATCGAAGGCTTTGTTGTAATCCAAGAAACACGTATATACTGGCTGATTAACATCCATGCACCGTTGCACAAGTACATATACAGCGAACAGGGCTTCCCTCGTTCCCAGTGCATTTCTAAATCCAAATTGTGTGTCACTTATGTCCTGCTCAAGTTTGTTGTGTATTCTCCGGTGTATAATTTTTAAAAATATTTTGAACGTATGACTCATTAAACTTATTCTTCGGTGGTCTTGGCATTCTTTTGCATTTGGTTTTTTTTTGGTAGTGTTATGAATGTTGACAGCCAATCTCTGGGAATGATTCCTGTACTGTATATTGTATTGAATAAGTCGACCAATATTCCAATTTGCTATTCTTCTATTAACCGTATTATCTCTACAGGTATTCCGTCAGGAAGTGTTGCCTTGTTGTTTTTTGTTCGATTTATCGCCTCTAATACCTCATCTTCTATTATGTCTGGGCCGTTATCGAACTTTTCCTACTCTAGTACTATCTCAGTCCGTTCGTCTTTAAATAGCTCTAGAATATATTCCTACCATCTTTTAAGCCTTTCACCGACGTCTATAATCATTTTGTCGTCCAGCAGTATGTTTGATTTTTTCTTAATATTAGTGCCTGTTATTTTCCTAATTTTTTTATGAAGGTTTAAGTTATTATGTTTCTCTACCAACTGTTCAATCTCTTCGCATCTGTCACTATATCCATCTTTCCTTTACATCTCTGATTTTTCTCCTTATTTCTGTGTGTATAATATTATACATGTTTTTGTCTTTGGTTTTATAAGATCTCCTTGCCTCAATGAGATCCAGAATATCATCGGTCATACACTCATTTTTGTTCTTGATCATCTTAGGTGTTAGTGTTGTCTCACATGTGCGTATAAGAGCATCTTTTAACATATGTCATTTCCTATTCGCATTTTCAGTAGGAATAATTTCTATTTTCGTGAGCTTTTCTTTAATTTTTAGCGTGACTTGCTCTTTTGTTGATGGATCTCTCAAACGGGATACTTGTATCCTCTCTACTTTACTTTTAGCCACAAGATTTTTTAGATTAATTCTAAAGCTTCCTACACTGGGTTGTGATCTGATCTCGTCCAAGGATCTTGGATGAGATTACATTATTACCTGAGGTCCAAGTCTTCGTCAGCATCGATAAGATGTAATTATCCTACATGCGAAATAATCATCAGAAATAGTTTGTATTTATTAATAATTTGGCTAACCTAACAAAATAAAACTTACCTGCTCAAAGGATTTTAATCCAGCCTCCTTGCCCCACGTGATCATATCATCTAATATTAGCTGCTTAACTTCTGGATTATTACAGAGGATGCTGAGGGTTCCGGGAATTCCGTTCTCATGAGCCCAGCATTTGATTACGTCTACGTCTGGTACTACGATACCTACTATACAAGACTGAAACAAAAATAAAAAAAGTTAGTTTATACTATTATATGTAGCCAACTAGCCAACGGCATCTAGGGTCTGTAGTACTGTTATGTAAGTTTTCAACTACCGTATATGTTATTCAGTATGTGGAACAAAGATAACACTTAATTGTTTGAATAGAAGTGAGAGGCAGTCGCCATCTCGAAGAAGTAGGTATGACATTTAAGCAGTGTTGCTATATTTCTGTTATTATACATCTTTCCTTCTAAAATTTTAGTCCGATACATGAGTGTAAAATAATATTTAAATTCACTAGAGGTCATTGTAGAATGAAAATTATTATTGTTCCAAAACAAACTTAAATAAAGTAGCCATGTAATTGTTATTTTCTAATAGATTATATCAATTACTTAATTAGTTAACAAAGAACATTGATTTAAGGAATTGATGTGTAGTAACAATGCATTATTCCCTGACGAGTTGTAAAATTTTAAGCAACGCCTTCCTTCACAGTGCAAAGCGCCAAGATACATCCGGCTATCCGGCATTCAGTAATTATCAGACACCGACAAGCAGTGTGTAGGTAGACGTGTAGTTCTTTACATAAAGTTATTTCGTCGCCAACTTTCCGTCGGTAAACCTTAATTCGCCTTGGAACGACGGCAACGACCACGGCAGCCGTGAATGCAGTAACATTCATCGATCGCCACCACGACCATCACACCACATCGATGCCGTGCCGTTTGTGAGAAAGTATTCTTGAGTTAACTAGCTGAAAAGTTTGTCCAATATATACTCCATCACATTACAAGCAGGGAATTTCTACACAACATGCGATTTTTTTAATAGATGGGTTTTTGTTTTTAGTCTTGTAAAATTCTTTTTCAGAAGATTGTGCCCTTTATGAGCAACCATAATGTTATGTTTAGACAGAAGATTTGCAAGTTGTTCTGATAATCCTTTTATATAGGGAGAGACATATAGTTTTTCTTTACCGTCTTGGTTTTACTGTTATTACTGTTATTGTAAAATGTATGCAGTTGCGATTTGAAAGTATTGTCGATAAGGTGGTGTGGATATGAATTAAGTGTTAGTGCTGTTTTTGCTTTTTTAATGGCCTGAGGTCTATCGATAGGATCGGATAATCTGATAGCTCTATCAGCGAGTCCGATAATTCGCTGTTATCAATAGATCAAATTTGGTTTATCAATTGACACCATAGGTTTCACAGTCCAAATCCCAACTACACGTGGAATTGGTCTGAAATGAATTATTAAGAGACTAAAATGGATTCATTTATAGCAAGTTTTATTTTAGTTTTCTAAAACCTTAGGAAATAATATAAAATTTTTGTTGAACTTACTTTAAGAGATTCTCCATATATAAAAACTTGACTAACGTACTGCGAACGAATATAGATATTTTCTATTTTTTCTGGTATTATGTACTCTCCTTGCGAAAGTTTGAAGATATGCTTCCTCCTGTCGATGATTTTGAGACATCCATTCTAAAACAACAAAAAAAAAATATATTTTATAAAAAGTACTTGTTAAAACTTTAAAAGATCTGACGACGGTCCTGTCGTCTTTGAAACGGCGCATAGCTTAGTTTGGCGACGACTTATCGCTAAGGGAGATTAGAAATTACCGTTACGATTTATTTTTGGAAAGTACCCACCTTTGGGAGGCTACCTAGCAACCCTCATTCAGCATTATTCCGTTTCCAGTCATCGATGTAACAACATGTAGTATTAATTTATATTTGTAATATTTTTTAGTTGTATTATTACAAAATTATGTTTTCTTTTTCTATATTATACAGTCACATAGAGTATTAAATATTTCATGTACGTTTTTTGTTCTTTACTAAACCACGAAAGTCCAATAATATTTAGCAACAAGTAACTGGAAGAACTTAAGATTCCCGTTTTCCACTGAACAGTTACCAACAGTACTATTCTATAAATCAGTTCGTTGTTGATATTGTCACGTTGCAAAAGTCGAGATCGCGTCTCCCCGCCAATAAGCGAGTCGATTATTGCCCTGTTAATATAATACTTTTTCTAGTCTGCTATGAAATACCCTAACGTTCCCGTCAAAAGTTAGACCCCACCCAAAATAACTGCAACTCCTCAATGATTATTTCTTTCTATAAAAAGGACGATTCCTTGATTTAAATTAATTTTCCACTGAATAGTACGATGTAGTTGAAGGTATTGTGTAATCATACCCTTGCTAAAGGTTAAGATATTTTTTTAGTATTTTTTATTTTGTTCTTTTTCCGTTTTTTTCGCTTATTTTGACTTTATATTTTATCATTTAATTAGGATCCAAACTTTATCAACGACCAAACATAAGTATTTCGAATTATGGTCCAAACAGTAATCTCAAGTATATTCCAAGTATGGTCCACCGTTAATCCAACGACGGTCTCAGTCTATTTCAATATGGGCCCTGCGTATATTCCAAAGCTTGTAGTCCGACAGGGTACTGATTCCCTTTTTTATATTGTCAGCCAATCCAAGTGGTGGCAGTTCCTTACACAAAATGCGAGAGACATGCTGATAAATGGGAATTTGGTAGAGTCAAATGCAAACTAGGGAAATAATATTATCTTATACAGTTAGACGATACAAGGATATGGGAAAGACATATAGATTACATCAGACCCATAGGAGAAAATACACCTATATATGTTAATTCAAATGCTGAGATTATTATCAGTAGCAAATGAAGCAGCATCATTTTCTAGTTCAGTCACTAAAAATAAAGATATATACGATTCAGATAATACTGAACCAACTAGTTTACCACAAATCCTAAAACAAAAATCTGCACTACGTAGGTCTCAACGCACAATTAAAGAACCTGTAAGGCTTAAATGGTAAGTACTAAATTAGTACTAAAAAGTACTAAATTTCCTTACAATGAGAAGAGTGGTATATATTGTTCATATTTCTAAGATATAACACTTTGACTTTGACGTATGTCAAGGAATCGACCAGCTTGTTTTGTTACATCAGTAATTTTGTTTCCATTCTTATTTTTTAAAATATAACAATACACCATTACAACTATTTACATAACAGTTTCAATAAGGCATTACAACTACATACACAACAACGTGTTTCCTTTGTTATTTCTAACTACTTTTCTCTTCTTTTCTTTGATATCAATAATTTTCGTAGAAATACTATAATGAACAGTTTCCTCTATCTGCTTCATTAATTTCTATAGAACCTTTTCACCACTTGCATTATTAAAAATCCACCAGCGTAGTATGTTTTACGAATTGACTTTCTTCAAATTTACTTTTTAACTAGATATGTTTTTTTTTAATTCAATAGACTTACCGGTAACCACATTCCTATATCGCCCGTGTGGTGCCATCCTGCCTCATCAATGACCTCTTCGGTCTTTTCTGGATCCTTGTAGTATCCCTGAAATACGTTGGTTCCTTTAACGCACACTTCACCCTGATTATTCTTCGCCCAGTACTCCATTTCTGGAACATCTACCAATTTAATGCAGCAACATGCTACCGGTGGGCCCACGTGGCCAGGAGTGTGATCTCCTTGAATGGTCAGTGAAATTGGGGCTGTGCATTCGGTTTGACCGTAGCCTTCAACCACCTAAAATATATAGAATAGAAATTAAATTATTGATAATGTTGTTTCAGGAAGGAAACACCTTTCTACTAGAAGGAAGTATTTTGAGGGCACTTTTATAACCCATTTATGTTCCTAAAGTACTATAAAATAGAACACTTTTATTTCCGGACAAATAGGTAAGTTCGAGAAAAGTTGAATCAAAGAACTTTCAGTTCATTTGGTTCAAGGAAGCATGTAGAAGTGTCGTATTAAACTCAACGAATAGATATTGAAACACATTTATTTTATAAATCAGAGGTTGATTCAACAACTAATCTATGTTGATGTTACGCAGTTATCATATGCCAACACAGCAAAATATTTATATTTTATGAATCTATGAGTTTTTTAAGCTTCTATGGAAAAATAATATTAACAGAAACGTTATGAACATTAATGGAAATGCATTGTTTGCTTGGTCGTCCTTCTGAGCTATCAATTTACAAGAAAAATATTTCATAGAAATTATATGTTAAGTATGATTCAATATATGAAGAAGAATAACTTAAGACATTGAAAATATACATCATAGCAACATAAGAAACACATTTGGCTGGAAACAACATTGAAAAGATTAGTTCATACACGTTTTATACAAGTGAAGGCGATAATAGGCATTTTGGAGTAGGTTTTCTGGTACAGGAAGACATGGAGCAGGTAAAACGATTTGTAACAAAATCTTACAGAATGTGTGTCATTAGAACTAAAGGAAAAGAGAACATGATATCGCTGATAAAATATACACGCTCCAATAGGGGGCGAAAGTAAACATATGAATACAAATGATAATGACCAAAGATTGATTACATTCTATCTACGCCTACGCCAAACAAGATAAACAAGTAATATACAACAAAAGTTCTTGAAAATCACAAACACTATAAAGAAAACAACGTCGAAGAACATACCACGAACAAAAAGATTTAGAAAAAACCACTGGTTCGCGGAAAAGAAGGTATCTCCATCCCCTACGATCTTGCGCTTCTATTTCCCATTGTTGTATCCCAATTCTAGATAAATCGGCATTCATAGATAAAATTCAACATCATCCTTCCATCTTTTTCTTTTCTTTTTTTTTAGGATAGGTAAATGGGTAGAAAGCGAAAGCATGGAGTTGCTTCCAGTTTACCCCACTTAGCCTCTTCTACTCAAATCCGACTCTCACCTTCACGATGGCACCTCCTGTTAAACCGAGCAACCCAATTGGAGATCCGGTATTCAACCCGGGTGGAAAGTTGGTCAGGAACACTGACGAGAGCGGGTGAAATGGTCCTCCGAAAAGGGGGTTGTGCTGGCGTTCCGTACATGTAAAAATTTGGAGCCACGAAACAGTAACTATTGCCTCGGAATAGGACGGATAGGAAATATAAGCGAAAAACTCTACCAGATGTAAAACTCTGATATAGCACAGGACACACCTTGATAACAACTCAAGTTCTGATGAAGAAGTACAGGTAGGTGGACCCAGACCACACTTAGACGGCTGAGAGAATTCTCAGAATCTATAAAAAAAAACAGAAAGAATTGACAGTAAGCGAAACTTTTGACCATTGACAAAAATCAATGGAAATAGATAGAACCATTGTTTTAAACCTATGCAATTATTCAAAAGATCCAAAAGAAACTTATTTTAATTATAAAGTTCAATTAAGTCAATATATATAAGAAATCCAAATGTACTTACAATGCATCCCAAAGCACAACGAACAAAAGTCAGCACGTTTTCAGCCAATGGTGCTGAGCCTACCAACATTAACCTAAGATGTCCTCCCATGCCTTCCTGGACTTTTCTGAACACCAACATATCCCAAAAGCTGTTTTTCCTAACTATTCCCCTAAAATTTTTGTACATTAGTCAAAGCTGTATCTATAATTTCTTCATTGATTTATACACTAAATATTAGTATAAAGACCAACCTTTTCAGTTCTTTCTCTTTGGAGCTCAGCGCCATATTGAACAGAGTTTTCTTAACACAACTTCCACTAATATCTGATTGCACTTTGTCGTATATCCTATTAAGTAATCTAGGAACTGCAGGCGTTACTGTTGGTTTTAGGGCTTTCATATCGTCTGACAACCTTCTTATATCTCCTAAGAAGAATCCAACTGCTCCTCCCACGCAATACATGGCATTCTAAAACAAACATATTAAATTAATTTATGCAACGATACAAAACGTAGATACATGATATTAAGGTTAAACACAGACAGGGCGGCGTGCGCTGCGTCGGCTGCCGCGGTGGCGTTGAAAGCGGTCTCTCGTCTATGGTACTTATGTTGTGCAACACAGACGATCCGTCTTTCGTCAGCTCGCCGCATCGGCCGCCGCGCGGCCTATGCTGAGTACCATGGTCCGTCGGCGGTTTTATGACTTCTGGCGGCACATCAGTAATAGATATCTCGTGCTTCAACACAGACGTGTGACTGTTTTGCAACGGTTTTATCTGATTACTTTTGTGAGTGTTTGCCAAATTTTGTATATATTATGGAAGCTATAGACATGGATAAATTAATTACCGAAATTCACACGCGGCCAGCAATTTGGGATATGTGCTTAAATGAATATTCGAATAAAATAAAGATAAAACATGCTTGAGAAAAGGTTACCCACAGTTTTATTTCGGAAGAAGCTTTTCTGGGCCATCTTTAATTTCGTTAACTAACATGTAAAACATTCCTTTATTATTTTTTCATTTATTTACTATAGGATGTATCCAATACCTGCGTTTCTTCTTCTTCTTTGATCTAATATGAAGTAAACTTGCACTTCATCATACCATTCTACGTCCAAAACTGGTCCAAATTTGACAACAACGAATACAGTGGCAAAACTACTGCCACTATTAAACCGTCTCATGTGTTTTACTGACAAGGCGCAGACGCGGGGCAAGCCGCCCTGTCTGTGTTTAACCTAAGATTCTGTTTTAAATTAGTTCTTTAAAATGGTTAAAATATTTATGAAAATAAATAATGCAACCGCAAAAAAAATAGCTTACCTCACAACACCTTTCCAACATATGCGCCAACGGTAAGAAAGATATCAAAATATCGTTATTTCTTAGCTTATGGTCACCGAACTGTAGTATTACGGCACTCATAGAGGCCACTATATTCTCGTGGGTCAACATTACACCCTTGGGGTTACCAGTTGTTCCACTAGTGTAACATATCGTTGCAAGATTACTAGGTTCTGGAGGCTAAAAACATTGCAAGTTAAAGTTATTTTAATTTTAGGACGTTGTGCTGATTACTTACAACTTCGGGGTGGTTTGTTTTCGCTCCCAACTCTTCAAGATCTGTGAATTTGATTATATCCACTCCTCTGTTTTTCGCCCTTTGCTTGGTGGCTGCCCTGACATCTCTCATGACTATTAATTTCTTGAGACATCTAGGAGATCTCTCCAATAGAAGATTGCATTTTGCGTCGTCATCACAAACTACCGTAGTTATCTCGGCTAGAAAAAATCAAATTTTTTAAACAACAAATTAGGGGGTCTATAACATAGTTGTTAAATAAAAAAGATCTAGTATATTATGATGCATTAGATTATTTCATTCGGAAATAATAGATGTCTTGATTGGTAGCCCAACAAAATCTGATGAGCGTTTTAGTTGCTATACAATCAATTGTTTGTAACTATAGTTTATATTATTTTCAATTTATTGTTTAACTGGGTAAAACCTACCTTGTTTGACAATAAAGGCACATGCTTCTGGACCTAGAGTATCGTACAATGGTACCAGCACCATACTGTAGCAATATACTGCTTGCTCTGTCAGGATCCATTCTGGGCAATTTTGAGAATATATACCGATTATAGTAGTCTGTCCTGGAGGGAGACCGCTGGCAACAAGTCCGGAACCGAAGTTTTTCGCTCTTAACAATGCTTCGTTATAGCTCAACCACTGGTACGGCTTGGAGTAGGATTCTCTCCAGCCCAGACTGGGACCATTATCTAAAACAAACAGAAATAGTTTATTATAAAATACATTTTTATAATATATTAAATTATTTTTGCGTAATGATGCTATACTATAGCGTAATTTATGCTATAGTCTACTGTAGTACAATGATCTTGCAGCTTTACTTTGCAGATGATATATTATTTTTGTATTGGTAATAAATGCTAATGCTCCAGAGATACCTAATCTTAACTACCTAAACAAAATTGACAATTACGTTTTTTTCTTAATTTTCATTATTTCTATAATTAATGGAAGACCTGAAATGCTAATCGTTCTAATTGCCATATTTATCAATTTCATTTTATTCCTGCTAAATGATCTATGTCCTGACGTCAATCAGTCTGCTGAAAGATCTAAGTGCCTAACCCCCTCCAAACGGTTTAAATAAAGTCCAAAGGAATGCACTGTGTGCAAGTTCCAGAGCAATGGAAGTGCTAGTTGATCTATATGCTGGATGTCAATCAACCATTTTATTGATGTAGATCAGTGCGTTTATCCACGGTTAGTAATTGTTTACATGTTTAAAAGATGCCTATTTCTACAGATATTATTACTAGTAGAGGCTTTTATGATAAATCTGAAATTAGTAGGAACTTCAGGAAGAAACAGAAAACCAACAGATTAAGTGGTAAATCCTATGTTACCCTAAACAAAAAGAAAGAAATCCCAGCAAAGCCACTGCTGTGTAAAGAAGTTAGTATAATATTTATTTACAAAATGTTGTAATTTATGTCATTCTGCTGTTTATGTACATATGTGATTGTTGAAGACAAGTTTATTTATCTTAAAAGTTTTCTATTAGATTCTAATGAATAGGTTTTGATTACCGATATCACTATTCGATCCACATTATACACATTACATTTACATACAAAACATATACCCTAACTCATTTCTTTTTTTTTTTAGGTAATTTGAAAGTGTAAACACGACGTACTTTCCAAGAAAAACTTCAGCGAACTGTATGGGTTTGGGGAACAAAGGACTTAGAAAGCATGTTAGGTTTCATTGATGAAGAAAACAGAGATTTCTACTATGAAATACTCTGTGATGGCACTTAGATCTCTTAGAAGTGAAACCTGAACCTAACTTAGATCTGTTTGAAAAAGTATATGGTTAACATGCGTTTTCTCTGTTTCGGTTTTGTAAAACTGTACAAAAATTACAAAACCATCTATTTACATTAACTTGATTGATTAAAACCACTTTTTTTTTAAATAACATTGTATTCTGTTGAAAACTGTACAGTTTTTAGCTTTTCAGTTCTTCAATTACTCAGACCGTCCAGGCCCCAAAGTTCCCTACAATTCTCTAGATACATGTTTTTAATTTCATTAAGTATTTATTATTAAAAACCCGAAATAGCCTTCTTTAAATAGTATCGTTGCCTGTTTCTAGAAGAAAAAGCATTAGAATATTGAAACTTGTCACTATATAGAGGGAATGTTTGAAACTTCGGTTACAAGTTCGGTAAAGGCTTTCGTTACGTTTAAGAATTCTTTCGAGACAATCGATACTTCATTGTATTGGTTTATTCATTCTAATGATAATATTTCGCAATAACATAATACCTCAATAGAATTTTGGTAATTCTTTGGACGTAAAGTTCTATGTTTATTCTTAAAGTAGTGAACAGATTTTTACTATAAGACTGCCCCTCGTAATTCAATTACTCATATCGTCACGAGCATCTGTATTTCATCTTTGCGTTCGAAGGTAGATATCACATTTTTCGACAGTTTTAGCACCTCTCAATTATCGTGGCTCTTTTATAATTGAAAATAAGCTGAAACTAACTAGTTCAAATGATCTATTAAATCAACGGTAAACTAAGTGTTGTTTCTTCTCTCTCACTCTTGTTAGTTGGCAAACGTTTCAATTATTATACGGGGTATACACATTTCACAATAAATCAAATCGTGAGCTGTGAGTAATTAGTGTAGACAAAAACGGAAAGGAGTGTGATATACGACAAATTTTGAGAAGGCACCTACAAGAGAGAGTTTGTAAGTAAAGTAAAACGAAATATCTACCAGGCATACACTGGAAGTTTTGCACAAATAATAGATGAAAAATGTTTTAAAGTATTCGCTTTGAAACCTTTCCATTCGATACAGCCTGTAGTTATTCTCCTACACAATCGACTACTATGGTGGGGTCAAATCCGATCAGAACTCAGCAGCACGTGGGCTCTATCCCACTGATCATTTGCTACTTAGCAGGGTTGCCAGGTGAAAATTTTTGTCCTCCCTAAATTGAACATTAAAATATCCCTAGAAATCCCTAGATTGGAATTAATGTATATATGGTTGCCTAATTCTGAATAAAATTATGGGATGTATATATGGTTGCCTAATTCTGAATAAAATGATGGGATGTATTGATGGTTGCCTAATATAATAACATGGACATAAAAAAATAATTGTTGTTTTTATCTTTATTTCAAAAACATATTTTTAAACGGCACAATAGCGATGATTTGAATAAATTTAACAAACACGGGATAAATTACCTATTTATGGCTTTGAATATTCCATTTAATATATTATTATGTATTCTTCACTTAATAAAATTAATACAAAATACAACTTAGAGAAATGATACGGTGAAGCATAGAATTTTATTTATATATTTCCACGAATTCTGTAATTCACCCGATTCCTTCTGTAAATCCGCTAATTATTATTTTATAAACCTAAGATTTTTGTAAATCCCCTAATTTCTGCTGAAGAATTTGCTTCTCCTTTCTGAAAATATATAGGAATATATTTTTGGCAGAAATCTATTTAGTTTTGGTAGCATAAAATAGGTAAAGGTATGAAGATATAGTTTAAAAGGTATAAGAACAACAAAACACCTGGAGAAGATGGCAGTGTAAGTGAAATGATAAAACTTGGAGGCGAATGCGTCATAAAGCTTTAAAAACCCTTTATAATGCCTGCCTCTTTGAAGGAAATACGCCAGAAAATGGAATAATCCATTATGATATATTATTGCATAAAAAAGGAGATGTAACAGAAATTGGCAACTACAGACCTATCAAACTTATTATCTCATTTATATAAACTCTTTATGAGAATAATTACTAACAGACTGGGACTAAGCTAGATTTTCATCAACCTCTAGAAGCAGGCCGGATTTAGGAGTGGCTTTGGAACAAATGACCACCTACAAGTAATAAAATCCTTGATAAAGAAAGTATAGAATACAACAAGCCATTGATATTAATATTTGTAGACTTTGAGAAAGCATTTGACTCAGTCCAGCATAGCTCCATGTTAAGAGCTCTTACAGAGTGCAGTATTGACCAATAGGTACACCAACTCTTCTTCGAAATATATATGATAGCGCAACATGCTGTAAAAATGTACTATGGTGACACAGACACATTTCCCTTGGAGAAAGGTATTAGCAAGGAGACACTATCTCTCCTAAACTATTCACCGCCCTATTACAGAGTGCTATGAGAAAAAATAATTGGGGAAAATAATTGGATGAAATATAAATGGGAAATTTTGAACAACTTGAGGTTTGCAGACGACATAGTCCTTATTGCAGATCAGGTAGATCATGCATGCCAACTTCTTCAAGACCTTCAGAGCTCTTGTGCACGAGTTGGCCTTAAAATTAATTTTTCCAAAACACAATACATGACCAACCTGGTACTGGCAAAAAACATTTCCACTAATGGCACGCAAATTGAACAATGTGTATTCCTATAAGTATCTGGGCCACGAGATTAAATTGGGGAAGAGACAATCAAACAACAGAGTTAAAAAAGGAGAATAGGACTGGCATGGGCAGCTTACGGAAAACTGAGGGAAGTCTTTAAATCAGCTATTCCCATGTGCTTGAAGAGAAAAGTTTTTGATCAGTGTGTACTTCCAGTTCTGACATATGGAGCAGAAACATTGACACTTACCAGAAAATGTAATTAATAAGATACAAGTGGCACAGAGAGCGATGGAGAGGTCAATGTTGGGCGTATCACTCAGGACAGAGTTTCGAGTCAGATAGTAAGGAGAAAAACTGGTGTGACGGACGCAGTTGAAAGAATTACAACCCTGAAATGGAACTGGGCAGGACATGTTGCTAGGGTCAGAGATGGAAGATGGACAAAGAAAATTTTTAGAGTGGAGGCCTAGACACGATGCTTATCGTAGTCCAGGACGTCCTCCAACAAGGTGGTCGGACGATTTAAAGCGCATCCAGTCTAACTGGATTCAAGTTGCTCAAGATCGGATGCAATGGAATTATTTACGGGAGGCCTATGTTCAGCATTGGACGCAAAATGGCTAATGATGATGATGCATAAAATAAAGATTCCAAGAACGTCGAACAGTGAGCAACATCTGATAAATAGAATCCTTAGTAGGTTTATCAGTGTTTAATTATTTGTAATGAAAGATCACTTATTTAATACCTTTAATACTGTTAATACGAAGTGGTTTTATACTTGAATTAAAGAAAATTATATTATAATAGGCCTAGTAGATTGAGCCGGTCAAAAATCCCTAGATTTTATACTAAATATCAAAAAAATCCCTTTGTCCCTTTTATACTGAAATATCCCTAGATTCGGGATAAATCCCTAGACCTGGCAGCCTTCACTAAGCGGCATGCTATACTACGTACTTATTTGGGAAATACATGGAATAACAAGGTCGTTTACCAAATTGTCTACCAGCGCTCACGAAATTTTCCTCAAGTCCTGGGGTAAAATTTTACCCCATGATAGTAGTTCACAGCTATAAACTTAAAAAAGAAAACAAAAATAAAGCTTTATATACACTTTCAAAAAGTTTTTATAAGTTTCCCTGAAAAGTGCTTAATTTTTTGATTATTTCACGTTGAAATATTCGATTTGGAATTTGACAAATAAGAACCTACTTTTCATGAGCTACAACTCTGCTTCTACTGAGTCTACAGACTTCATAAGTACACTATTTTTTTGTTTTTTATAAGCTACATTTTTATTATGAATATATAT